GGTATTTATAGAAATTTTCGAATCTGAGAATTTACTAAGAAATTGCTAGGAAAAGTAGGTACAAAATTTAAATTCGATATTTTCTATCTAGTTCCTCTTAATTTCGTAGTAACAAAACTCATTCCTCTTAATTTCGTAGTAAGCAATTACTAGGACTTTACGAGGAAACTGCTTTACTAGGAAATAGCTATGCCCGCGTATTTTTCCTCTTAAAGTCCTAGTAATGTTACTACGACTTTACGAGGAAACTGTTTTCTCGTAAGTATACGAGAACCTTACGAGGAAACATGGTTTCCTCGTAAACTCGTAGTAATTTTACGAGGAATTATTTTCCTACTAAAGTTTCCTAGTAAATGTTTAGTTTTCTTGTAGTGAAAATTTTCAATGTGAAAAAATTAATAATTTAATAATTTATAAATGTTCTTGAAAATTTATTGAGGATTTTGAAATTAAAATATTTATGTAATCTTATATGGTATATAGTTTAATCTGTATATATATTTGTGTTATTATTGAATGATACTTTTTTACTTATATGGTTTTAAAATCATGTATATCTTTTTATAATGAAAAATGTTAAACTATTGATCATTAATTTTTAACATAATAATTTTAATAGTTTAGTTATTTATTCTCTTTTTTTAAATTCAAAATATAACCTATACGAAAAAATCTAAAGTTTAATTTTATAGCTAATTTGATTGTTTAATTTATTTTAATAATATAAAATTAAAGAAAAATGATGGAGGATATATAAACTGTTATCAAATATTTATTATTAGAATTATTAAGTGTCATATATATATATATATATATATATATTAGTCATTTATGTTAATTCCGAGTGTTTTATTTATGGAAAGAAAATAAAATAGTAATATATCCAGGGGAACAATCATAAATGGAAGTATCATAAATATCATATCATATCATCATATCATATAATTTGACCAACGAATTTATCTAGCGAAATATAAAAATCGAATGTGGACCTACTTATTTTTCAATTGAATTTAATTGACTACCTAATTGAGTGACACCTAAGCATGGGGTCTTTTTTAATTATTACAAAATTGAGGTTATACAAATATATAATATGATCATATTTAGAGTCATATTGTCACAGAGTCATTTATTAAAAAAATATTATATATTTAAATAAAAGAATAAAAAACAAAAAAGGCTTCTATCATCTAATAAAATGATCAAATCTAGAATTAATATTATTTTTTTGAAACACAATCTAGAATTAATATTAAAACACTAAATTTTGAAAATAAAAATAAAAAACAAAACAGAAGCATGAAAGAAAAGTTTTTATATTCTTCCATATTTAGTGTTCATCAAACCAATATGTCTTCGATTGAACACAACTCTGTTTGTTTAAAGATAAAAAAAGTTGTAAAGAATTTCAACTAATTGTTGTCCATCAAATTTATAATCTTTACTTCAATTTAGTTACTGTTAAAAAAGAAAAAGATCAAAGTAAGAAGTCTAAGTTGTAATAAATTGTTAGCTATTTACAAATTATAATTATAGTTCAACTCATGTAACAAATAGATATTCATGCGTCGTTATAAATATATACATATTTACATGTTTCAGTTTAATCGGTTATAAATCAAACAATATCCAAATCCTAGGGTTTTTATAAAATCACATCCATTCAGTTTGTATGGTATATACCAAAAATAACCATATTATCGATTGTTAATATCTTTTAAAAATATAAAATTAAAAAAATAACTAAGATATTTAAATCATTGATAACAAAAAATTTCAATGTGAAAAATTTAATAATTTAATAATTTATAAATGTTCTTGAAAATTTATTGAGGATTTTGAAATTAAAATATTTATGTAATCTTATATGGTATATAGTTTAATCTGTATATATATTTGTTTTATTATTTAATGATACTTTTTACTTATATGGTTTTAAAATCATGTATATCTTTTTATAATAAAAATGTTAAACTATTGATCATTAATTTTTAAAATAATAATTTTAATAGTTTAGTTATTTATTCTCGTTTTTTTAAATTCAAAATATAACCTATACGAAAAAATCTAAAGTTTAATTTTATAGCTAATTTGATTGTTTAATTTATTTTAATAATATAAAATTAAATAAAAATGATGGAGGATATATAAATTGTTATCAAATATTTATTATTATAATCATTAAGTGTCCTATATATATATTAGTCATTTATGGTAATTCCATACGTTTTATTTATGGAAAGAAAATAAAATAGTAATATATCTAGGGGAACAATCATAAATGGAAGTATCATAAATATCATATCATATCATCATATCATATAATTTGACCAACGAATTTATCTAGCGAAATATAAAAATCGAATGTGAACCTACTTATTTTTCAATTGAATTTAATTGACTACCTAATTGAGTGACACCTAAGCATGAGGTCTTTTTTAATTATTACAAAATTGAGGTTACAATTTTTTAAATGTTTCTTCTTTAATATATAAAGGATTTTATTATATTAAAAATAAAACCGTATAAAAAAGGGTATATCCTTTTAGATTTCATATCTATACTACTATTTGCGAAGTGATTTTTCGCAATAGAGCTATCACGTTAAAAGTTAGACTGATTAATATCTTTTATACCCTTAATGAATAATTAAAAATTCCAGTATATAATTAAACATAAGTAAAAAACTAATTTCAATGATTGTAGATTTAGCTTTATCTAAAAATATTTTATATTTGGTTATAAAGTCTTTATTAACGTTGAAAAATAATTATAATTGTTAATATAATAAATTATAAATTAAAAACGAATTTCATGAATTTGA